TTACATTTAAGTCTTTAATCCATTTTGAGTTAGTTTTTGTATAAGGTATAAGGAAGGGGTCCAGTTTTAATTTTCTGCATTTGGCTAGCCAGTTTTCCCTGCTGTTGTTTATTTTTGCCTATTTCAACTTTCCTTTTGTTCTTGTCTTTTCTTGCCTTTCCTGTCTGCTTTTTTTTCATTGCTATATTTGACTATAGTTTTCTTGATTACAGCACTCCACTGTAAAAAGACTACTTTGTAAGTATTTTGGAAGAGTGAAAATATAGTTTAATTCAGATCATAAAGATTACGACTAATAGACTAAAAATTGTCAGGGAGAGGCCATTCAAGGCATTTGAACTGGGAAAGAACCGATGAACAAGTGTTGCTGAATCCTGGTGTAAGAATGGGCTGCAAGATGTTGAAATAGGTGTTCATTTTTAAAGTAAAAACTAACATAGATGATTATGGCAAAAAAAAAAAAAAGAAAAAAAAACTCACAGAAAAACAAAAGACATTCACCTTGAATACTAGGAGACTGCCTCAAACTGGATCAGCCATGTACCCATTACATTGTTTCAGATCCCAAAAGCGTGAAAAGCAGCATCAGTAGCAAAATGTAGTAGACATTAAAAAAATGATAGAACATTGGTAATATATAAGTTTTCTGATTTTCTCAGTATTGTTTTCTCTTAGTTCAGCAGAGCTATTAAGGTAAGTTGTTATGTAAGCTTTCAGGCAATAGACACATAGTACACTAGGCTTCTACTGCTTTTTGTCAAGGAGGGCTCTATTGCGCTCTTTGAACCTGAGTGTGTTTGGCATCATTTGTTTTTGCTTTATGTGCAATCTTAATATCTTGAAAAGAAAATAAGAGAAGAAAAAAGGAAAATATTTATATAGCCTTTTATATTTACCACCATTTCCAGTGTTCTTTATTTTTTCCTGCAGATTCTACTGTTTGTTGTCATTTCCTTTCAGCGTAAAAGACTACCTTTAGCATTTCTTCTAAGGAAGATACACTTCTAAGGAAGATAGCAATAAATTCTTCCAGACTTTGTTTACCAGATATTTCTTAATGTAGCTAATATTTTGCCTTTGGTTTTGAAGTAAAATATTTGTACATAGAATTTTCATTTTTAACAGAATTATTGTGATATAATGTGCATACTGTACAATTCACCCATTTAAAGTGTACATTTCAATGACAGTATAGTTGGAGTTGTGTGGCAATTACAATTAATTTTAGAACATTTTTGTATATAGAATTCTGGGTTGAAAGTCATTTTTTATTTCTTTCAGCACTTTGATTATGCTATTCCATTATCTTCTGGCTTCTATTGTTTCTGAAGAGTCAGTCATTAGTAATATCATTTTCTAGTATTTAATGAATGATTTTTCTTTTGCTTGTTTCAAAATAATCCTGTGTTATTTGGCTTTCTGTAATTGACTCTGATGTGCCTAGGTACAGATCTCTTTGTCTTTGACCTTTTGGGGAATTTTTGAGCTTCTTGAATCTGTAATCTTTTTCATGAAGTGGGCGGGGGGTGGTTTGGTCATCACTTCTTCTTTTCTTTCTCTTTTCTTTTGGGATTCTCATGACATATATGTTAGTATGCTTGATGTTCTTCCAGGTATCTCTGAGGCTCTGCCTATTTTTCTTGAATCTTTTTCAAGATTCTGATCTTCAGAATAGGTCTTTTCTATTGATATATCTTAATGGTCACTGATTCTTTCTTCCGTCATCTGAAATCTGCTGTCAATCCCCTTCAGTAAATTTTTTATTTTGATTACTATACTTTCCAACTCTAGAATTTCCACTTATTTCTTTTTTATAGTTTATTTACTGAGATTCCTGATTTGTCATTTTCATTACATTTTCTTTTAACCATTTACATTTATACTATATGCGCATAGTTTCCTTCAATCTTTGAATATATTTATAATGGCTGCTCTGAAGTCTTTATCTAATAAAACCAAAATATAAGCCTACTCAAAGTTTCTGTTTACTGCTTCCCCCCCCCCCGCCAAGTATTGGTCACATTTTCCTATTTCTTTACATGTCTTCTACTTTTGTTAAACACTGGATATTTTAGATGATATACTGTCGCAACTCTGGATTCTGTTTTTTTCTGACTTTTCCAGTTCAGAGTTTTCTTCTCCCACCCCTCACACTTCTCTCTCTTTTTCTCTTTCTTTTCTTCTTTCTTCTTCTCTTTCTTTCTATAATCGATTGGACTTATTTGTAGAAGCTGTCTCCTCTGCAATGTGTCACCATGAATGTCTCTGTTAAAATTTTTTAAATTCTTATATTTTTACTTTTTAGTTTGGCTTTCTAGCACCACCTGCATAACTTAGTGGTCAGCCAGTGACTAGTCAAAGATTATGCTCAAACATTTTGAGTCCATAAAACCTACCTTCTACCACTGGATCTGTGTGTGATTTGAGGATGACATCCAAAGTTTATATAGTTTCCATATCTGCCCAGATTTTATTTTCCTGTCAGTCTTCTTGGGTGTGCACACAGTCCTTAGTTGGAGATGTATGGAGAATTTATACAGCCCCTCTATGACTCTCTCACTTCCAGGATCTCCCTATTACATTTCTGGTTGGTCTGTAAGCCTGCCACTCATCCCAACCAGGACTGCAACCTTAGACTAGAAAAGCTGCAGGCTTGCTTCATTCATTTCTTATTGAGTTCACTGCTTTTACTGAAAACATTGCCAGACATGGGTGTTTGACTCAGGTCCAAAGCAAGTCCACCTTTTCTGGCAGCAAATCTGCTGGTTTTCCCAGCCAGTTCTACCCCGCTCTAACTACTCTGCCAATCAAGCTGGGGTTAGAAGAAATGGAGGCAACCCCAGGCAAAAAGACCATGGCCTCCCTCTAATTTTACCTGAGATTAGAGCAACTTTTAATGAATAAATAGCTCTCTCTTGTTGTTTGCCTTTGTTTAATTTCTAGAGCCCTGAAATGCTTCAGGCTTTTCTTTGACAATTTTGTCCAGTTTTGTAGTTGGCTTTGAGCATAGAATATGTTCAAAATATGCTCAAAACCATGAGGCTTTGGACCTCAACCATAGTCCAAAGTCCTATCTACCAATCATGCATTGCTTATTCTATGGTGGCCTCTTTTTCTACCATTTAGTCTGTGTTCTGGGAACTATTTTGACCTATAATGCCTGGCTAATGATGTGCAAGTAGTAAACTTGAAACTGTCTCAAATAAACAAAGTAAGAGAATCATGCCAAATTTGAAAATGCAAATTTTACAGTTGTCTAAGCACCTTACTAGTTGTCTAGGACCAATAAATGGTCTAGAAAGGAGGATAAAGCTTAGAAAGCAGCCAGCATGCTACTAATTGGGATTCACAACATATTTATTATGAAAGGCACCATAACATGGCAACTTATGCAGTACTTTGGCACCTCATTCAATCTCTTGGCCTTAAATATTATCTACATGTTAATGACTCCCAAATTTATGTCACAGTCCACACCTCTCTCCTATACTTCAGACTCACATATCTCACAGCCAATTTCAATATCCATGCTTGAGTGTGTAATAGACATTTCACACTCACTATGTCCAAAGCTGAAGTTATCTTGTCACCAAATCTCTCTTCTTTTAGCCCTATCTATCTTTGATGATGGCAACTCCATTCTTTTAGCACTAATGCTAAAAATTGTATAGTCTTCATTGACTTCTCTCTTCTCACACCCCACATCCAATCCACAAAGAAGGTGTGTTGTTCAAAATATTATGAAATTCCAAAGTACAAATAAAATCCAACCACTTTCTTCATCTCCACTGATATATCCCCATAAACCCACTATTATGTCTTACCTGGGCATGATAAATTCACTATCATCTCTCACCTGGATTATCATTGTAATATTCTTCTAACTGGTCTGCTTCTACCTCTGTCCCCCTACATTCTATGATAGCAGCCAGAGTAAAACTGTTAAAGCTTAAGTCATATATAAAAAACTCTCTTGTGCTCAAAACCCTGCAATGGTTTCCCATTTCATGCAGAGCGTAAGCCAAGGTCTTTGCATTAGCCCATAAGGCCCTTCATGAACTTGTCCCATGATATCTTTGACCTCCTCTTACTCTATTTATTCTAGCAGTATGTCCACACCAGCCATATTGGCCTCCTGCCATTCATCAAACATGTCAGGTTTGCCATTTCCTTAGGACTCTTGCCATGTCTTTTCCTTCTGCTTCAAGTGCTTTTCCCACAGATACTTGTAGTTTTAATTCTTCATCCCCTTCAAGTCTGAGTAATAATCACCTTCTCAATGAGGCTTATTCTAACCAACACTAACATCCCTTCTAAGTATTCACTATTTTGTACTTAACATCTTATTTATGTCATATAATGTATTTATTTATTATGTTTATTGTTTACGATCTCTCTCCTCCAGAATGAAAGGCTCATGAGGACAGGGATTTTTGTCTGTTCACGAATATATTTCAAGCACCAAGAACAATGCCTGACACATACCAGTAAATGAATATTTGTTGACTGAATAAATGTTTTCTTTAGCTTTTAAGACTAGACCAATAGCTGGTCTTAAAACTAGCTAATAACTAAGTAGTAACCCCACCAGCTGAAGTATAATATAACCAGTATAACACTAAAAACTACTTTCAAAAACTGTACCTCATCATGGGTACTAACATGAGTACATAACATGTTACTCAAAGTTTCCAACAATAAATTTAATGGTGAAAACCAGTACAGTATGTTAGGGGACATGATAATGTAATGGTCTTTTAAGTGGCTGTAAGCTGAGGTGATTAATGGTCCTTCACCTTAATGTAGAAGAAAACATGGCAGAGACTCATAATGTCTCTTTCTTGGTTTACTGCTGGACCCAATTTCTCAGCCGCTCGTATCTTAGATGGGGACATGAGAGTAGTTTGGACCATGTAGGTTGAAAAGATGTGATCCACTTTCCTGGCTAATCTCTTACATTTCTCTTGTGATTTTGTTTTCTTCCCTTGTCCCTTGGTTAGATGGAGAGGATACAGTGGAGGATTCAGAGGTTGTAGAAGATGGTGGAGTCTCTAGATGGAAGGAAGCTGGGTCTCTGAATCACAAAGTGAAAGACCACTCACCAAACGCCTTATTGGACAATGACATGAATGAGAACTAAAACCTTTATAACTGTAACTCGCTAATAGTTGGGGTTGATTGTTATGATAGCTAGTCTACCTAGACCAATAGAGCCAATTCCTAATAATATCATCTCGGAAGGGTAGGATGAAGCCTGATTATGCAAAGCGATGAAAATGACATATATTGAGTATCAAGGAAAATTGAAATCTTTGACAAAGTGGAATTGCCATCTCTGAAAACAGTTCTTTTAACTAAAATACGCCAATGTATTAGCAATTCTTCTTTGAACTAAATAGATTGGCACTTTTTGGACCTGAGATGTGAAACTCTGCCCTAAGTTAGGATTCATCTTTCAATTCAAACAGCAGTGTCAATAGGAAAGCAAGTTGGCTGTTTGTGCTTAGCACCACCTGGCTGCAGTTACATCACTCAGCACTAAACATGCTGGCTGTGTCAGATTTGAGTACTGTCATTCTGATGAAGTGGGGAGTGTGTTGCCCTGGTAGGAAGCCTTTTAAATTGAATGACAAGGTTTTTCTTATTTGTTACATCCCCAGGCCATTGTCAAATCATATAATGCCAGCCCAGGAAAGTAATTACAGAACTGTTGTGAGGCTGTTAGCAGCTGCTTTTCATTTTTCCCCATTGTGACTGGGATGTGGTGGAGAAAAATTGGGATGACTAAGAACCACAACATAAATGCCACCCAATCTGCTGGCCAGTCACATATGGCACTTACTTTCAACCAAAGGGAAAAGAGGAGGCCCCTGAAATGTCGTTAGATGTAAGAGCTGAATATAATGCAGAATCTACAGCAAATTATCACAGAACAAGGTGTGAGGATAGGTGGATTCCATTTATTAAAGCGTTATGGAAATCATTAGGCCACAAAGTCTAATTTCTAAAAACAAAATTCTGTGTTGATCCCATTAAGAAATCCCTCTTCCTCCTAGTTGCTACTTTTCTTTTAGCATTTTCCTTATTTTTGTGTAAGAATTACAGTGACCCTTTGGTTAATAACATGTTACTCAAAGTTTCCAACAATAAATTTAGATTCTCATAAAAAAGCAACTGCTAAGATATATGAAGGGGAAATCAACATTATTTAACGTGTTTTAATCTTACCATATTACCTTAATTTGATTCTTTGTAATAAGAACCTTATAAGTTATCCAGTACTTATTTTCAAAGTTAATTTATTTCCTAAACTCCAGTTTGTGAAGAATGGCAGACATTTGATAAGCTGATTTAAAGTAAAAACAGGTATGTATTGTTTTAAAGTTATAACTGCTTAAAGTTTAATGGAAACTTCTTAAAACCCCTAATACTACTAAATGCTGTATTTCTAATCAGGTGACAATATAATCATGATGAACCTTAAGTGATTACTCACTGTTTATTTTCTTTGAATGAAATTGTTTAACTGGAAGCTAGTAAGTTATTATGTGCACATACAATTCATTCTTGTTCTGAAAGTCATTGCTTTCCTTTCCTTGGCTACTGAGATACAATAAATACATTTGTATGTCTTTTAAAAATTGCAGCAGGCAGTTGCTTCCCTATACACTAGGCAATATCCCTTCCACTCAGAATTGGAACTCTTTTGAAAAAATAATTTATTTGCAAATGATGAAAGTGTTCAGAGGCTTGAGATCCAACAACATCCCAAATGAAAATAATTAGAATTTGTGGTAAAGATAAGAGTGAGATTTGAAACCTGTCGGTACATATCACCAAGAAGAAATAAATTATGGCTTGTCAAAAATGACAGATTTCAGCAAGGTGCTTCCTTTTCACTTTGAGTAAGACCTTTTTCCACCTAGCAATTAACTTTATTCCCATTAATATTCAGTAGCATTGACAAGGCTGACAGAGTAAAACTGGGTTTTATAAAACTAAAGACAGATTGATGGAGACTCATTACTTTGTCTAATAATTTCATCATTATATGTTGTATCTTAATAAATAAAGAACAAAGCTGTTGACTGTAGCATTGATTTGTTGTGCCAGGTAAAGGACTCAGATTTTCTGTGTATATTTTCTTTTTGTGATTCATAAATGTATTTTTGAAAATAAACAGTAATTTTGCCTAAAGGGTTGCAGAGGTGACAAAATAATACATTTACACCATACCATAATACCCTTAGTACTGGCATTGGTTCCTTTAGATATTTCTTCACAAGCTGTAAATAATAATTATGCCACACAGTTACATAAAATGAGCAACTGCACTTAAATGACCCTTTGATTATAGATTTTGAGAAAGCCTAAGAACAAGTATTTTCTTGTGGTTTGGTGGAAAAAGAGCAAAGGATTAACTAACAACCCAAAGAAACCTAAAAACCAAACATTTTGGTCTTTCTTTTTTTTATGATATAAAAAGTTAGATAACAGAGCAGGTTTCACAAAACTTTAAGACGTGTCAAAGATGACGTTGCTTGGAGACATAATATCTGCTCTGTTTTTTTGTATTTGTCGTATTTCCCACACTTGATCTCAGCCAAAAGGCAGAGAAGCAATTATTTGTTATATTTCCTTAAAAAATTAAAAATGAAACATTGTACTTTTCAAGGCTTATGGAAACAGTTGTTGGGCTTTTTTATTTTTATACAGGACACTTTGGCTGAATTCAGCTTTGCTTTCTCTTCTAGAACTGTGAGAAAAGAATTCTCATTGTTGATGAGAAAGATGTGATATTTGTCTAACAAAATCAACTTGATTTTTTTTGTCGAAGTTTCTAAGTTGTTCTTTCCCTCTGCCATGAAAAGTAACTTCTCAAAGGTAAAAGTCTGCCATTTTTTCTTAAAGAGCTCTTTTTCCATTAACATAATGTAGCTCAGCACTGTTTTTTGCCAACAGCAATAACAGTGACTTTTGGATGTATTATTTACATTAAATTTTGCCACTTGCATTTATTTTCTGTGCTATGACAACATGCTGTTCTGTGGTAGAAATGACACAATTTTAGTCTTCATCAAATTCATAGTTTCTGCAAAAGTCTTATTTTTCATAAGCAAAAATTCATGTAGTGAAAATGGAGTCATTTCACGCAGTTCCCACTTTGGCCCTGAGCACATGCACTGAGCAGCTCTCCTCTTTACTCCTTTATTTTTGTCAGTATTAAAGTCTGCAGATGGGTATGTCACACCTGAACACCCTGAGTATGGAGTGTGTAATTATAATAAAAGCTTTGGAGTAGATTTCCCTAGCCCTTGAGTGTCTTCTTTTAAGTACCTCTCTGATGTTCCACATCACCTTCGATTATTAGATCCTGTTAGCTCTGATCTCCTTCTTTTACACCAATCTGCTTTTCTGATTTGAGCTTTGACTCCACTGCTCTCTCTCAAACTTCCCTTCCAATGATCGATGCTAGTGTTTTCCTTCAGTTACTGTCTTGTTTTCTTCTTGATTATTCTATTTTCAAATCCATTTACGAACTTACCCTTACTCTTCATGAATAAAGACTTCTTAGAGAGAAGAGCAGTTATTTGAAGAACTGCAGTCATTAGTCAAATGTTTAGTGAGAACTTACTATACGTAAGACATTGTAAGAAAACTCAGATACCTGATGTATCATCACTACGATTGATAACTAACACTTATATAATAATAACAATGAATCAGACATTGATCTGTGTGCTTTACAAATATTAATGCACTTGGCCCTCCCAATATGCCCTATGTTTCATTATGCAGGTTTTATCATTATAGGTAAGAAAGGCCATATGATCAGAAGATTGCTGCCATTGAAAAGACAGTTTGTTACTCACAGTTCTCAAGAGAGAATATGCGATGCCATGCCATGGAGGGCCATACAGGAAAGCACCAGGGTTAGTCAAGAGGCAAACAGAGTGGGAGAGAAATGTGGGCAAGAGACTTTATTGTGGTTCCATTGGGAAGAAATAAGTGAGGCAGGGTAAGCAGGCTTAGTATTGGCTAGTTCAAATGCTTTCAACAGGCTCTTGGGTGCAGCAGCTGTCTGGAGTTGCCTGATACCTGGTCCTGGTGTGATTGGGGCAGGGGAATATGGGCCCAGAGTGAAGAACTTGATAGAGGAGGTGGGAAAAAGTGTGGGCTTTGGACTGGTTAGTTTGCACATGACGGTTGTGCTCATAGGCAAGGAAATTGGCTAGCTCTAGGAGAAGAAGTCTCCCCAGGGTCAGTAAGATCCCAGTTATCCAAATATCAGAAAAAAAAGACATGCTTAATATATCTTAGAGACAGACAGCTAGTAAGGGTTTGAATCCAGGTTCAGAGGTAATAGGTCTGGCTCCAGAGTTCACATTCTTAGTTCTATGTCATGTTGCTTCACTAAGCAACATGGATTTTTATAAGGGAAGTAAAAAATATGCAACATATACGTGATATTATTGTGCTGTAAGAAAGGTAAAAGGGGGCTTCAGAATTAAGAGGTGGGAGACATCAATTAGATTGAAACTCAGGCAAAAATTCAGGAAAGAAGCCATAATTGAGTGTGCATTTAAAGGATGACAGAGATTCCCACAAAAAGGCAGAAATCATTCCAGGCAAAGGGAATTGCTTAAACAAAGTTGTAAAGACTTGAAATCAGTGAATGTGATTAAGCTGCTGCATACCACCCATATAGCATAATGGCATATGCAAAGCTTGAAGGAAATGATATTGAGAAAGTTATTTAAAATCAGATTTAAGAAAGTCATGAATAAAAAGCTAAGGAATTTGAGCTTATGTATATTACAGATCTTTGAGCAGTGCACTTCAGGGGTTAACCTTGATTTAGTGGAAGAAGAATTGGAAAGAGAAGAAGCAGAAGGTGAAGGCATCATTAGTACGTTATGGAACTAACTCAAGTTATTGAAATAGCTCAAATGAAACTTAAGAATAATATCAAGGAGTATTAAGAGCTTGATTCCAAAACCATTGTAGAGATAGAATTAAAAGTATTCTATGTTGAAGCTCTGTCATATAAAGTAATGACTAAAGGAATTGGTAATTTTACTATGCAGAAGAGAAAATAAAGGGATAGACTCTCTTGGATGCTGAGCTAGGCCAAACCTCAGAGGCTGCTCTGGGCTCCAAGGTGGGAGAGAATAAAAACATGGACAGAGCTCATGAATGCTTGTACTCCATCAGTTCAGTTCAGAAGCTGATAAGTAGTGAAAAGAAGCCTCAGCTCCACTATAGTTCAGCATGGCACTGTTATTGGAATAAAAAAAGAGTAATTTATAATAAAATAATATGTATTTCAATACGTAAATGCTCAGACAAAGCTATCCCAGGAGAACTGATGATACAGACAGAGCTTTCACCTATTTCATCTGGATTTAAGAGAGTTAAGTTCAGAATCCCTTCAATACAAGAAATTCAGGAAGATGAAAGAGTAGATACCTAGGTCATCACTAAATAAAAATAAGTCCTAACAGACTAGAATTATTTGTCTATAAGAAAAAAAAAATCTTAATTGAAATAAGGATAACATGCCAACACAAATTACAGACTTTGGAAACAGAGAAAAAGAAGTATGATATTAGCGCAAACGAGTTGGGCCTTATTTATAAGTGCAGTGTCAAAATTATTCCCAATATTATGATGGGATAGTGACAAAGTATCTCTGAAAACATATCTCCTGCCTTAAAATTCCTCCACATGTTGAGGCTCACAATCATTCTCTGGCACTTAGAAAGACCCAGGAGACTCTATCCTTTGATAATCTATAGGGGAGGTAGGTTGTATTATAAAAAGAAGTAGTAATACAAGAAACCACAGGAACATTGTGACAGAGACAGAATCTGTGCCAACACTGGGAAAAAAGGCAACCCTCAAAATAAATAATTTCCTTATATTACTTATATAATCTAGATTTCTCATCATCGTCATTCATAAAAACTTTAAAATATATGTAATGGCAAGAATATAAAATATAAAAATAAATATTTATTAATAAAATTCAATTAAATCCCAGCATCTTGTATATTTCCACTAATTTTATAATATTACTTCTAAGCCATAAGAGTCTTAGGTTCCCTTTATTATCTGTCTGTATGTGGCAGCAATATGTGCCAACTAGCACTGGTATGTTATATTGGTGACTCAATTATAATGAGGGGCATTGTTTCACTGAGGTGATTCTCTGAAATGGTCAACAAGTCTCAGAAAACATAATGCAAAGTTCCTTTGATTTAAACAGTATTGCATTCCTGACATTTTTAATTTATAACTATGAAGAAATACATTTTGTTGTGATTGGTAAAATTATTTTCTAGACTCTCAAATAATTATAACTTTTTCTCCCTACATGAATGTTGATGGAATATTTGAAAATCATGCAGCATAATTATCTATTGGGTAAAACTGTCACATGCATCACAGGACACCTAGCATCTCTGTCCAGCTCCACTTCCTAAATAACAGCATCATCCTGCAATTTGTATGAAAAATAAAAATGATCACATATTTTAAAAATTATTTGTGTAAAAAAACTACTGCTTTAAGTAATGGTGCTCAATACAAGGGAGATCCCTGCTATATGACATGATCAGGATTATGCTAAAATCTTTTAGTAGAGAAATGATAGAAAGATTTCCAGTATTGGGTGACTAGTTGGACTAGTTCAAAGTTGAAAAATCAAATGCCTACAGGCATAAAGCAGGTATAACAAATGTGTGAACTGGGCCAAGAGGAAGACAATAGAGAGTTGTGTGGTCTGTGACCAGTTGTCCGAGTACCACTTGTTGAAAGATTATTTTTTCCTCATTGAATTGCTTTAGCACCTTGTCAAAAATCAAT